CAAATTTCACCCGATGTATGGCAATAAGTTTGATATGCAACCCTAGAACGTTGATCTCACTTACAAACGCACACGCCATTCGTAGTAGGCCCACGCTAAAAGATGTTCAGCGTAATTTTCGGAAGGTGCCGGTCCACGAACTCAAAGTTCTTAATTACTAGTACTTACTAGATATCACATGATTCCAACGATCAAAATATTACTCAAAGTTACAATACTGGCAAAACTGCAAAGACTGTACCGTTTCCATTGTTTATATGATCTTTCAGGTAAAATTTACAGTCAACTCTCTCGTAAGCGACCACCCCGGAATCAGGAAAAAGTGGTCGCTTCCGAGAGATGGTTACGACGATTGCGAGAAAGTTTTTATAGAGTTTATATAGGAAACTGAACAAAACGGTAAATTTAAAAGGCGGTCGCTCATGGGAGATGGTTGCTTTACAATTGGTTGGTCGTTCAAAGAGTATTTAAGAAATCTCACGGCTTTTTGAATAATCTAGACGCTCTTAGAGCGTAAAGTCGGGCTAGCTATTTTTGAAAACTGAGAAATACAGGATACTTAGAGTTCAGTTCGGTAAAAAATTATGATGTAGTCTTGACTTATTTCAAACAAATACTCTATCGTGAAAATGAAATACTTATATCTAAATGACGGCAGCTGACCCATTGTCGCAGCTACAGGAAGCCCACGTAAGCGATTCATGATCGTCTAGTTAGCCTAAAATTTGAAACAGGTTCTTATAGAAAGGTTCTTCAGCCTAAAAAAATCTTCATGCAAAAAAACATCACTTCAAAGCAGTGAACTTTARTTAACTTGTATACACTTCTGAATTTGGTATAAATGTTTGAAAACTTTGTATCATCCATTTATCTATTCACATATTTCCTCATTTATCGATAAAAACTCACAATAAAACTTATTATAAACTAGACGATCAGCAATCGTTTACATGGGCTTCCTGTGGTTTATCCCAATCAGTAAATGATATTGAACCGAATTGAAATTAATATTACTAAGASAACAGCAAAAAAGGATTTCCTTTAATGAAACATAATCAAACAAGCAATGTACTTAGTAGAATTTAATAATATTGTGAAAGAAGTAATTTATGTTTGACGAGCCGTTACTTTAAGAGTCGCATCCTTGGCTGTATTAACACAGATCGATAATCTTTCATGTTCTTCGCTTAAAATACTTCCAATCCTCTGTTTTTCCTCAGTATAAATCTGTTGACATGTCTTAGATAAGTCCTTGGTGATTGTAGAGCCGGTACTAGTATAAGTTTGCTTTTGATAAGCTAATGTTTGATTTAAGGAATAAAAGACGAAATTCCGTGTTTGATACTCTGATCAAAACACGCGGGATGTAGGGAGAGCACGAGAGAAGCGTAGGAAACCACGACGCGTAGCGGAGTGGTTTCCAGCTTTTCGAGTGCTCTCCCTACATCCCAAGTCTTTTCTAAAATTAAAAGATTACGAAAATTGTAAAGAATTCTGACTTTTGATACGATATAAAACGATGAATTCTCCTTACATTGCAGTTGTCTGCAGCTTCTGTAGCTTCTAACCTTCTAAACGTTTGATAGCTCTTCTTCTGGGATATCATCCCAGAGGACATCATAAATAGGCATTTATTCGTTCATTGTTCTTGAAAATGAATGATAACAACAACAAATGCAAACGGCGGGAAAAAAGAAATTTTTGACGCGCGCGAGCGTGTTTTGATACTGTAATCAAACATGGTTTTCGACCAATCACAGCGCGCGTAGTATCCTAAATATTTTAGAAAGATAATTCACGATCGGTAGATTCACGATAAATGCCCTTTTGAGAAAAGCTCGAATTTTTTTTAGTGTGGCTATACCGTGAATGGTGTGTGGATTTGTAAAAGAATCTAGCGTTCGACATGTTCGATCTTAAAACTTTGCAGCCTATACGAAGGTCCGAAGAAGCACGAGGCGACGTTTGAATCGTTGCTTAGAAACATGAATGACAGCAAGACAATAGATGTCAAAAATGAAAAGGTCCCGGATATAATTTGAAGCATACCACAGACGAAAAACGTCGGTAATTTAAGACATGGTCTTCCTTTGGATGCCCATGTAATAAGAACCTATTTAAGAACACGCGCAGCTTAAACTTTCCCTAAGCACCATTTATGAGAACCTGTTCAGGCTAAATTTGAAAAAAATGGGTTCTTATAAGCGGGTAAGTACTGTATTTTCAGTTTTATTATTATTTTCCAATACGGCCGCCCCCTCAGCAGAGGATTCAGTATTGGCCGGCTACTCTTAGTGGAATAGTGGTGTGGGTTCTTTAACGTCCCTCTTTTGCTAATGAGAAGTTTAGAGAGACGGGACCTCCGATTTAACGTCGTTATCCGAGAGGACGTGAAGCTTACCATTTGCAGATGGAGAAACAAAGGCAGCAAATTCTACTCAATTATTTTTTTAAATAATTAAAAAACCCTGAGTACGCATTGTAGTCCGATGCTCAACCAACTGAGCCAA